TCTCAGAGGAGAAGGAAGAAGAAAGCCTCATGAGCAGATGCCACCAAAACCCAAAAACGTAAGGCTGTGATAGAGAAGCCTGAGCCTGTGTCTGAGTGTGTCCTGACCTTTTGGCAAATGCCTCTCTCTTAATGTCTGCCCTTCGTGTATTAAAGCCTTCCCCTAATGCCTCCAGCACAGCTAAAATACATACGCAGGAAAAGGTGAATTACAACCTGCTCTCTACTTTACTGTAGAGTGAGTGACAACTCGGAGCCTCATACAGGGTTCCTGGGGTGAGAAAGGTTCTGGAACACCGGTCTCAAGTGCCACACTGTTTTCTAACCCATGACCTTCAGAGAACTGCCCAGGTACGGAGTTCAGCTCAGGCTTTCCTTGGCTTCCGCTTCTCTTCAGGGACAAAGGGACAACTTGAGCTGATGAAACGGCGTGACCACGTGCACGGGAGCTTGGACAGACTCTCCTTTCTCCTGGCCAGGGTCTGAACTTGGCCTTCTTCCACAGCGCAGGTCCCCTCCTCCGCCCTGGCTCTGCCATTCGCCCCTTTAACTACCTAGCAACGATGCTATCGGCGGCTCCATCGCAGTCCCTCGGCGGTGTCTGCCTAACTGACCTACATCCTTTCATCGCTCTCTGCCCTTTTTCCCTCTCTAGAAAGAAGAAATGATGAAGAAAATGTTCTTGGAATCCATTTCTGGCAGAGCCTTCAGAGCTTTCCTTAAAATTGTTACTGAAATGCTTGACATTTTTCCTCTCCTTTATAAACATTATGGGCAAATCATTCGGAACCCTAATGGAAAGTAATTTCCCATTAACGCAGGCTGTAAAATGCTATTTTCTTTTGAAACTGTGCCTGGGAAACAAACAGCACGGGGCCCTCTTACACTCAAAAATTCCACCTACAAATCAGCAAAGCTCAGGGACGGATGCGTGACACAGCAAGGCACAGGGCCACAGCGGCACTAGGGAGACTCCACAGCCTTGGGCCTCTGGACACAGGCTTTCTAAAAGCCAGCTGAGCAGCACAGGTCTCACCATGTAATCTGCCTGGGGACGGGGACAGAGCTACTGGCCAAGGAGAAAGGACGGGAGCTCAGAATGACGCCGCCTACGTGAGGTCGCCAAGGGCTCCTTTGTCCTGTCCTGCTTCCCCTCTACCAAGCCAGGTGCACACAGCATATGCCCTTAACCATGACACACTGGCCACACCCCGTGATTATGAATCCTTGGAACAAATCATTCTGAATGCTCTTAAACATTCTGTTACATTTGCCAGGGTTTTCTCTGTGTGTATGGGGTGGGGGTCTATGTGTGTGCATGTGTGCACATGTGTGTCTGTGTATACTTGTATGTATGTGGTCTGTGCATGCTTACAAGCATGTAGGAGTGTGGACATGGTCTGTGCATGTGTGCATGTGTGTGTTTACTTGCATGTGGAAGCCAGAGATCAATGTCATGTGTCTTCTATCATTCTCTATCTTAACTTTGAGGCAGGGTCTCTCACTGAACCAGCTTGGAGTTGACGGATTCTGCACACCTGCTGGCCATTCCTCCCATCTCTGCCTTCCCAGCACTGGGTTACGGGTGCATACTGCTGCGCCTGCGCTTTCATGTGGGCACTGAGGGTCTGGACACAGGTCCTCTGGCCAGCACGACTACCGTTTTACCAGCTGAGCCATCCCTCCATCCCCAAGCATCCCTTCTTGATGACATCAGATAGGCCATCTGTGAGGGAAGCTATCCGTTCCTGCTACCCACGGACTGGGTGACCGACAGAGAACTCCCACTTGACTCCGAGAGTCCCTTGCTTATGTAAAATGAGGGTACATCGGTAGCAGAGATGCATGTGTGTAGCAGACTGTCTAAGCCAACACCACACTGCGGTGTAGTCGCTACCAGCATTCCTACTACTGTGGCTTTATTGTCATCATCGCTCTCTGCGACACTGTATGAGGAAGAGAGGAGGTCCATGCACAAAGCAACAAATAATGCACCCACATACTGCAGGCACCCAATGCTACAGGCCCTATGCCTGTCCCTGACATCTGATCCAAGTATCTGACTCCTCACAGAACTCAACAGTCTCCTTACTGCCAGTCTGCAACTAGAACAAAAGAAAGCCGGGTCTGTCTCACGGCCAGGAAGAGATGGCGTTCTGGGGGACCTTTATCCAAGGTCCTAGAGTCCTGTCTCGAAGAACAAAGCCCTTGCTGGGTACATGCTGGAAGGGAGGAAGGGGAGGCCAGGACTAGCTTGAGGACTGGGGTCTGCTTTACCCACAGCTAAAAGCCTGGAAGCGAAGGCTGGGACTGTACTCGTTTCCAAAGTTTAGTTCACTTGTTTATAGCCGCCATTTTTATAAACAGGAAGCTTGAAATGGCGCCCAGAAAACTCTGGATTCAGAGTAAAGATTGGCTTCAGGCCAGAAATCGGCAAATCTTAAAATGTACAAAACCTGTACATTTCATCCAAACAACCAGAGTTCTGAGACAGGGAGGCGGGCACTACTAAAGCCTGGTCCTAGGGCAACAGACACACAGTGAGCAGCCCAGCAAAGCAGGATGCAGGTTACCCAGCAGACAGCCCAAAGGGCCAGAGAAAGTGTGATGTTTACGCAGGGTGCACGATTTCCTTAAAGCAGCCATGTTTGAATGGCTTCTTCAGAGCCACCGACTTTCCCAACGGGAGGTTTGCATTCACTCAAATATGTGCTGCTGAAATACAATTTTAAAGATAGCTTCAAAACAGATAAACACTGTCCACAGCTTCGCGTAGCCTAATGCAGCTGTGCTTCCGGCCATGCAGTCATGGGATCCACTTAAATTTCTGAACTCCATACCTGCCTGTGGCTCTGTATAACCCACACACCACGAGATGCATAGTGTCTCACTTAATCTGCCAACACCTATTTATCCTATCCAACTATCGACAAAATGTCCACAAATAAGTAACTAGCCACCAGATTGTTTCCACATACCACTTCTCGGAGATTATTTACCAGGTATACAAGAATATTCGGGGATTAAGTTATTTCTTTAGGGTGTGTTTCGAGGCGTGAAGCCAGAGCTACAGTAATTTCCCATGAGTCGTGTCAGGGGTTGGCAAACTGGGCTAGAAGCCCAACAGCGTGAAAGCCGGTTACGCTTGTTCACTCCTCCATGGACATGCTCGATGACGTAACAATAAAGTTCGGTAGTTGTTACGGAGACCACACGGCCCTGCAGAGACCAGACTTCTAACATATGTACTGTCTGGCCCTCCACCAAATGTCTGCCCACACCTCAGCCATTCTAATGTATGACTCCACAGCGCTTGTGAGATTGCACCCGAGTGACACATTTGAACAGAAATGGAGTCTGCAACGCCCATGAGACTCCAACAGAAGGCCATGAGAACCAGAGCAGAGGGTTTCTTCTAGGAACTTCCTAGGGCGTGCATATGGAAGCTGCACACTGCCTACCCGCCCCTTCCTCTTCCATGGTGATAGAACTATGGGTAAGATCTGGTTCTCCAGCTGGATGTGTCATGTGACTAAGCCCTGGCCAGAGGGATGGAAGGCAGGTGATGTGAGTCACTGAGGCTCAGCTCTTTAAGGAGAAACTCTGCACCTAGATTTCTATCCATTTCTTGAATCTCTTGGGAGAGGTGGCTACTATTAGCGCAGTGTAGAAACGGTTTCCAGAAGCCAGGCATTGGCACAATAAAACCTGCCACCAGAGACAATGACTCAGAAGGCAGCAATGGAGAGAACGCGTATGTAAGAGGCTTGAGAGCCCGTGACGCCAATGAGGTCACAACAAAGCATTTGGTCTAAGTTTTATATGGGACAACCTTGGAGGCAGACTACACACCAGGAACCCTAAAACAGAAGATGGGGAGAACTAAGATGTGTGTGCCCGTTAGTTACCCCTGTTGAAGCCGGAGAGTTAGCGGACGAGGCTGAGAATCTCTGAGACTGTGAGGAAAGATATCAGGAGAGAGCGGGGGCTGAGAGTCAGATGCTAGGAAAGCCCTCTTTCAAGAGTGCTGAAGATCCGGAGGTAGGCACATCCCTGCCGCCAACCCTTACTGCCTCACCAACCTAAGGGAGTTAGGGTGGTCACTGTCACAGTTAATAGGGGCCACGCAAAAGCATGAAGTTGCTAAATACAGTGGGAGAGGCCTATGAACAAGATGGAAATAATAACAAAAAAGCAATGCATTTTGGAAACAAAACTGTAAAACAATACAGTTGCTTTTGTTCTGTATTTACCAAACAAAACATCAAGACTCTGTTATATGTAAAATGTTCCAGCCACAGGTAGGACAACAGCATACTCAGTCCTTAGGAGAGGCGAAGTCTAGGGAAAGAGACCTGATGCGGATGGAAATCATAGAGAGACTATAGGAAAATAGACATTAATTGAGGTTTTTTTCTGGTTTATTTTACCCCAGATCCTACTTAAAATCTAACAGTACAGTACTTGAGGTGGTGTCTGGCACATCTCAGGTGCTCAGAGAATGCTAACCAAACCTTCCTAACAATTGAGAAGCTATTTTGAAGGTGATGACCTTTAAACGTAGAGGATACCATAGCAGCTACGGGCCTTTGGTCAAGGGGCTGTCTAACGGCCACACTGGAAGGCATCAGTACACAAAAGTACAACAATAATTCTTCCCGGTGCTGGGCTTCAAATTTGAACACGTGACCACTGGAACTGGGGAAGGAGGACTCGTCAGTCAGCCAAAGAAAAGTCTACCCAGAGCCGGGCGATGGTGGCGCAAGCCTTTAATCCCAGCACTCAGGAGGCAGAGGCAGGTGGATCTCTGTGAGTTCAAGACTAGCCTGGTCTACAGAGCTAGTTCCAGGACAGGCTCCAACACCACAGAGAAACCCTGTCTCAAAAAACCAAAAAAGTCCACCCGTTCCTCAGCACATTCCCACCAAGGGCCTCGGCAACACAAGACTGAGCACGCCTAACTGGAGACCCTGCTTGGCATGCTTCGGAGGGCTGACTTACCTGATATCTTTGAGGAAGTGCTGGTGGAGACTCCATTGATGTCACTGGGGCTCGTGCTCACAGGCTTTGGCACGTATTCTCTCCTGGGGAGTTTGGAGGCATACGTTATACTGCAACACACATGGGAGGCCAAGTCAGACCTTCGTCCCAGACAGCAGAGACTCCCTAGTCCACAGGCCTTAGCTTTTCTTGAGGACCACCAGACCCAGTGGGATTGTGTACCCCAACCTCTGAGAGCCCGGTGTGTCAGGGACACAACCGTGTGCGGTTCTTTCAGTCTGTACTCTAGTCTCTAGTTGACATTCATCTGGAAGAATGTCCTCATAATGTTTAGCAAGCAGACACTGCCCTAGGCTAGCCACCTTCTGTCCTCTCTGACACCTTGAAGAAGGCCATCTGTCTACAGAAGTGGATGCGTCAGGAAAGCTCCCCTCTGTAACAACAGCACCAATTGAAGCAAAAATCTCACTGAATTTCTTCATTACTATAATCCTGTGTAAAACCATGTTCGGTTAAAAGCCTAGTCAAAACGTAGCATAGGTTTAGCCCAATAATTTGATCAATGGGGTTGCTGTGCAAACTCGAAATAATATTACTGATTTGCAGAAAGTAGGGGGTGCATTGACTGTGAAAGTCCCAAGGCAGGGAACAGAGTTTCTTTATCATTCAGAAGCTACCATTGACTCTTTTGGTGTCCAGAATCAGCCAGGTATCATAGCCCGATCACATTTTTCATGGGCTTTACAGGGTTCTGAGTGTCGCCTGGCTCTTTCCATAGCCCTAGATGTTGGGGATGGAGCCTGTACTCCACTCCTCAACAGGTAGACAGAGAGTGAACCCTTTGGCAAGTCAGCAAAGAAGCCACGGGAGTCACCTCTCAGGCCACCGTGCTTGTATGCTCTACACATGGGTCACAAGAAAGGGGGCGGGGATATGAGTAAAAAGGAGAAAAGCAATTCCAGCCCTTCCCCCAGTTCTACCCTCTTATCCCAAGCTACATGTTTATTACTCAGCCTCGTCTCGTGCCCACCCTGAAGGTCAGCTAGAGAGAATTCCAAACAGAGGGCAGGAGGGACGGGGGACAGGAGCTGGCTGCACTCTGCAGCCCTCTGCCTAGGCGAGGCGAAGGTGCTTACCGCATCTCTAGCTTGTTCTGCAGCTCCTGGAGGATCTCTGTGGACTGCTTGTGATAGTCTAACGCTGCCTCTACAAACACGGCCAGCTGGCTGACTTGCTCTACCTGTGGCAGAAGTGCAAAGTTACTCCTTTTTGGCCAGAGCCCTCAGGACATCCAGAGCAAACCGGAAGCCTGTGACAGCAGCCCAGCTCTGCCGGGCAGCATGACAGCCGCCTCAGCCCTGGTCCAGTCCAGCTCATCCCATCTCGGGGCCCTACAGTCATGACGAGGGTCACATATAGGGCTGGAGGGGCTGGAAAAATACTGTCCAATTGATTTGTGGCTATTAATCTGCTGCAAATCCACTAAACACTCTTACAGTTATAGGATGATGATATTCTTATATACTGTTTTAATGCTCTAGAAATCATGGGTTTGAAGATGGCGGGCATCTTAGTTGGGGTTTCTGTTGCTGTGAAAAGACCCCATGGCCACAACAACTCTTCTAAAGGAAAGTAATCATGGTGGCTCACTTACAGCTCAGAGGTTTAGCCCATTATCTTCATGGCAGGAAGCAAGGCAGCATGCAGAATGGTGCTAGAGGAGGAGCTGAGAGTCCTTACAACAGGAAGTGGTCTGAGACACCGGGTATGGCTTGAGCATGTGTGAAACCTCAAAGTCCACCTCCACCATGGCACGTTTCCTTCAACAAGGCCACACCTACCCCAGCAAAGTCACCCCTCCCAACAGTGTCCCTTCCTTTGGGAGCCATTTTCTTTCACACCACCACAGTGAGAGAAAGCTCACCCATCTGTAAATGAAGCCACTGCTTGATAAATCAATTTTCTTAGAGAAATATCTCTGTGTGCTTTCTAGTTAAGCCAGACCAAGAAGCAAAGCCAATGAAGTCAGGGTCAGAGACAGCAGGGGTGTCAGGTCAGCCAGACCTGCTCCAGGGCAGGGACTGTTTGTCCCCTCTGTCTCTGTCACCACCCAGCAAAGCATCTTCCCTGAAACATAGCAGAGAGTGACGGGCTGTGAAGAGTTCACCATTCCTCTTGCCCACAAACTAACAAGCCCCAAAGAGCTGCAGAGGTGGCTTTCCTGTTTATCAGCGGGGTTGAATAATCACTGCAACGAGAAAGGATTTTTTAGTTCTAGAACCTTCTATAGCAAGGCCCAGAGGACTGAGGTGACTCCCCACCACACTCCCAACCCAACTCTTCTGTAGCTCCAGATCTGGACAGAGATACAAATCAAAACCATGCGTCCCAGGACTGGCTAAAGAGCATTTTCTTATACAGTTTCTAACCAGCTCTGGGCACGATCTGGCTGTATCCTTGTCCTGCCATCTCTTCTCTCCTGGCACAGCCACCCGAGGGCTCACTGGCTTCCACAGATCCATGTTGCTTTCATGTACCACTGAGAGCTCTTTCAGCTGCCCGCCCTTTACTATGGTCGCCCACTCATTCTGAACCTGGGTTTACTGTGTGTCTACAGTCTACATGGATCCCACTATGCCAAGAATGCCATGGGCACGTGACTAAGGCCGGCCTTGACATGGCATATACTTTACCATGCTCTGTGGCTAGAAAGGCGACACCCGCCTTCCATTTCCAAAAACACAATAAACAAAACAAAGACAGCCAGGCCCCTGCAAAATCCTGAGCATTTCTTAAATTTCATCTCCTTGGCTTTTAAGAACATGTTTGAATAAGGCCCGCGCCACAGCCTGACAAGACCACAGCAGACTCTGCTAAGGAAACAGCGCTGCCTCCTTGTGACGCTGGAGCTGCATGCTCACGGAAGACTGCCGTGATCTGTCTTTAGTAACAGCAGTCTGCTTTGTGCCCACTTTGAACTAAGCCTGCCATTTGCAGACTTAAAGGACAGCAAGAGGCAACCAGACAGAACAAATATGCCCAGAGCTTAGGGCAATGGCCAAAGGAAAAAAAAAAAAAAAAAAAAAAAAACAAACTCTTTCACATGCTTCGCACACACACCCCAGAAGGTACAAAAGATGAACAGATTTGAAGGCAAAACACAACATAGCACACCTCCCAGGCATCAGCAGGTTGACGGACAAGAGAAATTCCAGACTGCTCTCTAAAGCGGGGAGAATTCATCCCCGGGATTTAATGAGCTGTTGGTTTTGTGCATCCCTCTCCCTTGCCTTCCCCTGGGTGAAAGGCCTTCCTTACGTCTTTTTATTTGACCTGACTGAAGACACAAGGACTTAGTGGGCCTTTAATAAACCACTGTAAGCACAACATGGGAATAAATCAAATCCTGCTTTCCTACGTGGCTGTTGCCCCAAACAGCTGCGGTGCCTATAGACATACAAAGTACAAGCTGGCCTCAGGCTCCCTCAGCAGCCAAGCTACTGCCATCCTGGCTCCTCTCTGCTCTGCTCCCCCTCACCCCTACCCCGAAGCTCTCCAGCCCAGGGCTTTGCCTCCCTTCCCCAGCTCTTCATTCCCACATCACCCAGCCATTTTGGCCACGAGCTCTCTTGGTCTTCCTCTCTTCTTCTCTCTCCTCTCCTCTTCTCCTCTTCTCTTCTTCTCTCCTCCCCTCCTCTCCTCTCCTCTCCTCTCCTCTCCTCCCCTCCCCTCCTCTCCTCTCCTCTCCTCTCCTCTCCTCTCCTCCCCTCCCCTCCCCTCCTCTCCTCTCCTCTTCCTTTCTGGCTCACTGACCCCTCCTCATGATCCAATTCAATCTGGACTCTTGCAGATGCCTCTGGCTGTACTTATCAGATTTACAACAAACTCTCCTCACCCACACCTAGAAACAATAATGTCCTCATTTGCATTCAGTGTCCATGCTGGACCGGTCTGAGGATGGGGATTTAAGGGAGAGGCTGGGGTAGAACCACCCAGCGATGCCTGGTAAGCAAGGCAGAAAAGGGAGGTCCCAGCCTGCGGCTAGGACTTCCTGTCCCTTGAGTTTTGCTCCACTTTACTACTGATGACAAGAAACCGTCCACCACAGTGCTGTTGCCTCTGGAGGGTGTGGCCCTAGACCCTCACAGCCTCCAAGTTCACAAGCACCAGTGTGAGCCAGCCAATATGTCGGCCAGGCTTCTCTATCCTGGTGTTAACTCTGACGGGTAAAAGCCTCAGAGATCTTCACCCCCAAACATCTGTCCCAGAGAGCATCTGTCAACCTCAGCTCCAAACCACAAATGCTGGGGCCTTACACGCAAAGGCTGGTCTCCTGGGCGTCTTCTGGGGCAAGGCCACCCCGAGAGATAAGCAAGTCTCCCCGGGGGCTTCAGTCAGGGGTTGTTGACTATCTCTACGGCAGGAGGTGAGAGCTACAGAACGTTCTAGAATGTCTCCACAATTACAGTCTTCGAGTCTCTCCACATGCCAGTCACGCTCACACAGTGATGGTTTACTCATGCACACTAACATCTTCTGTCTGCTTTAAATACTTACATCATTCTCTAAAAAATTAAACATGCTTCTCTCGGCCAGCTCCTTTGACTCTTCAAACTTTTCTATCGCTTGTCTGATTTCTTCCTCAGGTATCTTACCTACTCGCCTCTTTTTATAATCATAATCCAGGCGGCGGCCTTCCAGTTTCCTCAGGTGGTGCTGGAAAGAGAAAGAAAATCCCTGTGGACACTCACACCACGGGGGCGGCCACATGCGCACGTCACATCCCTGATCTCTACAGAAATGCTCCGTACTTCACAGCCTAAACTCAACCTGCCCCTGGGCCTCTGTGGCCTTATTGCTCCCCCTCCCCTCTCTGACCTCTGCCCATCCTCCCAGAGCCACCGCCTGCCCCCAGGTCACAGTTGGTTTTGCTCTGACTATTGCTATCTTTTTCTCACTTGAGCTTCTCTGGTCTCAGCTTTGATGCTGTCTCTCCTGGGAAGCTCTCTGTTCCCTCTCAAGACTCTAACACACTCCTGGGCCTCTGGGCCACGAGCGAGGTTGTCCATCTCTTTCCCTCACTGGGCAGATGAAGGGGAAGGGGCTGGATCTTCACACAAGGCCAGGGTCAGTTCCCGAGCGCTTGGGTCTTAGGAAGATCCCTCTAGCTAAGAGCTAGAGACGGGCCAGAGTCTAGCATGCTGTAGTGACATGTTTAAGCGCCACCAGGCAGAAGCCAACAGAAACAGGAAGAAGGAAGACACAGCAAGACAGGATGATAGGTCTTGACGGGGTGAGATGGACAGACCTGGGGCCCAGTGGGGACTGGGTTGTCAGAAATGGGGACATGCTTTCCTTGGGATGGAGGGGGTAACACAGGTGAGCGGACTCGGGGTGTCCAAATAAGGAGGGGGTACCAATAAAACCAGTTTTTATGTCTCATTCAGTCTTCCTGGATCCTTGCCTCAGGCTTTTTGCTCTTAGAATGACTCTAACTGCAGATAAAGGCATCGGAGGCTCCCCAGGACTCCAGCCTCCCCACCATCCATGGCCCCCTGGTTTTTGCCCTGTGCCCTGGCCTCCTGGCCATCAGAGCCCTGACCCTTCAGCAAGATGTGCTGCCTGTTTACCCAGCCTAGGGTGTGCCCTCCTCAGGGTCTCCCTGCTCTTGCCTCTCCACTGTTAGCAACTGCTGGCTGTCCCGCCTCCGCACATTCATGTGCTCCCGAGGGGCACACGCTCCATCTGTGTCTCACTAACTAGTCCATCTCTGTGGCTACCCTGTTAAGACTCTCCGGGCCTAAGGAGAGGAAGACAGACCCAAGGTTCAAATGATACTGCGCTGGAGGGAGGCATGTCTATCAAGCTGGAAGGCAGGCAGTTATTCTCTACAGCACCACAAGAGGGCGCCTGGACCTTCAGAGCAGAAGTCTGGCCTCCGGGATTGCTTGGAGTCATTGCACATCTGCAAAAGCAGCCAGCCTGAACATGACCTGGAAGTCCCTGGACACTCTGGACAACCATCTCTTGCCGGTTTCCAGATGAAACTTTCAGTTCCTAGATAATGATTTCCTTGAGAAAGAACGGAAAGTAATGACCGCGAGTGCAATGGAGCCAAGCGCACAACGGATATGGTGTGATATTAGCAATGAAAACCACACCCCGAGAAAGGAGTCTTTGTGCTCTATGAGAAGAGGCTGCAGGAATGTGATGCTCAGTCTGGCGTGTGGATGGCTGCAAAGGGATGAAGCCCTGAACGTGACAACTGGTTAGCACCTCCCCTCCAGAGACGATGGATCCCAGTACTCTCCCAGGGAGCCATCTAACAAGTCCAGTTCTCAGCCCTTGGGTGAGACCGTATGCTGGCTAAACCCCCGTGCAGAAGCCTTGTCATGGGTTCAAGTCACAGTGTTGTCGGACAAGGACAGAGGGGAAGACTTACCCCAATCTCTTTTAAATCTTTGTCTTGCAGTAGCTGCAGGGGGTCAATAAACGTTTGCTTCACATTAATATCCAGAGAATCTTTCACCTCGGCCATGAGTTTCATGGATTCACCAACTTCTATCAGTGCATTGCCTTCAACGAAAGAGCACAGAGCTTCCTTTCAGAATAATACTCTAGGTTAACGGTGATGCTAATTCTTTCTCCAAGACCTGAGGATGGTGGTACAACGAGGCTTCGCTCTAAGGCCTCTGCTTCCTGACTCAGAGAGAACAGGAAAAAGGAGACAGTTTGCCTGTTTTCCGCTTGTGTTCGCCTCCCTTCTGTACTTTTGCCTCCCCTTCAAAGAGAGCTGGTAGACCAAAGCACTTCCTCCTTTGGCCACTAGATGGAGATAAAGGTCTTTTGTGGAAAATCGGGTCCGGAAACTGGCACCAGGGGTTCCTTAGAGTTCAGGGATAAAATCTCTTCGTAAACAGTGAAGGGATTCATTCACAGGGATACATGTTTAACCAATAGATTACAATGGAAATAAGGCCTCGGATACATGTTTAACCAATAGATTACAATGGAAATAAGGCCTCGCTCATGTGCTTCAGGAGCAGTAGAGTATCACTCCCTGCAGACAGTTCTAACGTTCTGTAAACCTCCCCAAGCTCTCAGGTGTCAGGGATGCCCTGTGGACAGGAGGGACCAGCATGCTCTGGGAACGAATATTTCCTGGATGTGGACAGCATCTTTAGTGGGTTCTCTTTGCCGGATGGGCTTTGCTCAAGCCTGACCTTTGAGTCAGTCAAGAACATGGACGATTCACTCATGCAGCTAGGAGGGGGCGGGTGTTCTGAACTGAGCTGTCTAGAATTTGATTCCGGGTCATTCCTACACGGAGGAAGGAAGTCTCTTCCTCACATGGATACTCTCCTTCCTGTCCAGCTGTGTGACCCTGACATTCATTGTCACCAGAGCCCAGGTATTGACTATGACAGAAGCATTTGAAATATGCCTCTTTGGGGGACTGTGGAGATGTCCCTTGGTAGAGTACTCGCTGCGCACACTTGAGGACTCAGGTTTGATCCCCAGAACCCGGCAAGGGGCACTTGTAATCCAGTGCGGGGGAGGTGGAGACAGCAGGACCCCTAGTGCTGGCTGACTGGCCACCGTAGCAATCAACAAGCTCCAAGTTCAGTGAGAGACCATGCCCCAAAATACAGAGTGGAAGGAGACTGATGAAGACCTCCAGCCTCCACACGCGAACGGGCGCGCATACGCATGCGCACATGCTCGGGGTCCTGCGCACATGCTCGGGGTCCTGCGCGTTGGCTGTCCAGGGTTCACAATCATCCTCCCCCTCCACACCAAGAGCAGCGCTGTTCACTAGCACAGCACGTCCTCGTTCCTGCACTTTAGAAGGGTCTGGCGTGGGGCCCCAAGCAAAAGGCCCAAAGGAAAGCGCCTCCGCAGACCAGACTCTCCCTGGGGACAGCAACCATCCACCTGTCCCAGAGCCCTGATGAAATCAGCCCTCTCCAGCTTCACGGAAGTCCCAGTGGCTAGCTCATTGGGTTGTCACAGGGCCTGCTATCGTGACCAGGGGCACAACAACAGTATCCTTCTAGCCCAGGGTCTCACCTTCACGGTGAGAAAAATAGGGCACCTTATTTCCAAAGAACCTTGAAATAAAACAAAAGCCACATTTACACGGCTCTAGGGACACTACGACCCTCTGTTGGGAATTCAGTAACTGCCTTTGGTGCTTTCTGAGACAAGGCCTCCCAGGTACTTCAGGCTGGGCTCGAACTAACAATCCGCCTGCCTCTTCCTCACAAGTTCTGGGATTGTAGGTATTTATCACCCTGCCAGGGGTGACTGTGTATGCTTGTGACCCCAGCACTAGGGAGGAGGAGATAAAAGGGTCCCCGGGACTCCTGGCCAGTCATCCTAGGCTAACAGTTGGCAAGTCCAGTTCCAGTGAGATCTTATCTCAAAACATGGTGGCAGCTCCTGAGAAAGGATGCCAGAAGTTTATCTCTGCTCTACGGTACACACACACACACACACACACACACACACACACACACAGAGAGAGAGAGAGAGAGAGAGAGAGAGAGAGAGAGAGAGAGAGAGAGAGAGAGAGAGATTCTCCCCTATCTGCAGGATTTTCAGAGCTTGGGAATGAGAACGCAAGCAAAGAAGTGTGCATAAAAAGAAAGTGCAGAGTTCGAGGCCACCCTGGTGGGGGTTGCAGGCCAGCCAGGGATGCAAGATGAGATCTCGTCCCCAAGCGAAACAAAACAAAAGCAGTCTCTCCAGATGGATGGAAGGAGAAAATGTGGTGTGCACACACAACGGAATTCTATCAAGCTGGAAAGGAAAATGAAATGATTAAATTTGTGGGGGAAAATGGTGGTGCTGGAAAATATATCCATGGAAATTAGATTCAAAAAGACAAATAGGCAGATCCTAGGTTTTTATTTGTTTTATTATAGATGTGTGTGTTGTGTGTGTGTGTGTAGAGAGAAAGAAGGGGATGGGCTGGTGGTCAAAAAAAAGGAACCATAGAGGGGACAAAGCGATCTCGAGTGGGAAGGGTAAAGACAGTGACAAAATGCATACTGGAAAGCACACTCCAGGGAAGGATGGAGAAGGACCAGAGGAGGGGGAAGATCAAAAAGACTTATCCATATCATGCTGGTGGAGGAGGGCCATTAAAGTAAACAGAGAGAGGAGATCTAGGAGATATGTATGCATATATAATACTGTGTTTTAATCTTTAAAATACATGAGGATGAACAAAAGATGCAAAGGCTATCTAACAGTTTACCTAAACCTACACATGGAGATGGGATTACAGATACTAGCATTTTCCTTACCTATGCTTTCTAAACACCCCCTCCACACACACCCCATAATGAATACACTATTCTGGTAGTATCTAAAAATTATTACATTGCAAGGACACAGGTTTTGTGGAAAACCCAAAGCCCACCAGGTGTTCCCACTGCACCAGCTGAGCTGGGGGTACCCACCGAAAGCAGATTCTTCTCCAAGCTCCTTGCCATACTTGAGCATGCAATCCCCCAGCAAGCCTTCTGTCTGTGGGTAGCCGGTGGCCTTCACCTGCCCTCGGAGCTTCGACATGGTGTTCAGCATCCCCAGCTTAGCTCTGTATGCTTAAAAACATTGTCATTTGTCATGCCTTAAAGTCACAAGGTACAGGACTGTCACACTGCCTTCCACAAACACAGCTATCCGAACCGAGGTCCCCACAGACAACACACCAACGACCCCAGGCACACGCCAATCCACTTTCATTCTCTGACATGGTTTTCCAAAGCCTTTGCAGGGGGTGGGGATGGGGTGCGGGGCACACTGCACAGCCACAGCAGCCATGGACGTAACAGACCCTGCTGTCTCCAAACCACAGGAGGCTGTGTTTAACAAGCGCCTGCCGTAAGGAAAGGCAGCCTCCAATGCGTGACAACACCGACACCGTGTAGCCACCGTCCCCACTCGTGCTAGGGACAACGTCAGTGAGGACTGGCAGGGCTGTGGTGCAGCAGTCAAGCTGCCAGTGGTCATCAAATCCTCATTCTGCTCCTAAGAAATGACTCAAGGGAGGGTTCGTGAGGTCAGAAAAGAAGGCTGGGGTGTGGAGGCAGGTGGCAGAAGACAGTGAAGTCACCTGCACTGCTTCCCCTCTCCCAGGTGCAACTCGGCAACTTTTCCTGGGGAGGCAATGGGCAGTTGTGGCTTCTCGCCTTCTTTTCGTCTCTAACTTAGGGCACTGAATATTTCTTATTTTTCGCATGATGTTTTGAACAAGAACAGCCCCCAGGGGCTCAGATGGTTGGCCAGTTCCCCAGTTGGTGGAACTAGTTGATAAGGATTAGGAGGTGTGGCTTTGCTGGAAGAAGTACATCACTGGGTTGGACTTGGAGGTTTCCAAAGCCATTTCCAGTGCGGGCTCTGCCACCTGCTTGCAGTTGAGATTTGAGCTCTCATCTGTTCCTGCCACCAGGACCTTGCTCCACCAGCCTCAAACTGGAACCCTCTGAAACTGGAAGCCCAACTGAAGACTTTCTTTTCTCAGGTGCCTTTCTCATGGTGTTTGCCACAGCAACAGGAAAGTAATTAATGCATCTGGGCCACATGCTGTGTTGGCGTGGGCACGTAAGAGACCCCCCAGAAAACATTTGCCCTTCCTATACCTCACCGTGCAGCTACTGAGTGGCAGAATACAGCGTGACTCTGATCAACTCCGGGGTGATGCCAGAAAAGAAAAATGCTGTAGGAAACCTCAGGGTACCCCAAAAAGCCGAAAAGTGTCTATCAAGTAAAGTACAGCAGGAATTCCTACTGTGCAATCAATGGACTGTGGTCCTCCAGCTGACAAAATGGCAAACGCCTCTGGGAAATGGAGACTATAAACTGAATACCAAGCTAAGGATCCAAGGCACCAGCTGTGATATCTAGGCCATTTATATTTAATGTAATCCAGGCAAGTATTTCTCAAGCTTGACCACTGAGCAGGCAATCAAGGTGTCTGCCTTTCAAGCCTTGCCAAGCTCAGCCTTAAAGTCCTTATCCTCCAGGTCTCCAAACCCTAAAGCATCACCCAGCTATACAAATTCAATCACACACACACACACACACACACACACACACTGGTTTCCCTTTCCCCCACTGTCAGAGTGAGTATCCTGTATGTGGGGGGTAAGGACCATTAGATGGGATTAGAGGCTTCTGGTACATCAGTCTTTATCTTCATGACAACCAGTAGGTTCTGCCCAGGGTATGCTTTCCCTGGTAGCCAGCTGCTCCCCCTTCCATTCCAACGTCAGTTCTTAGAGGGTGGAGTCTGACTGTGCATTCTAGAATCCAGAAAGCGTCTCACATAGCGACAATGCTTATCAAATTTTATAGGCTAATACATGAGGAAAGGAACTCATCACTCTAGTCACTGATGAGGCTAGAAAAAACACTAGTCACTGGGAATTTTAAGGCTATTACCATCTCGAGACTTTAAAGCCCGGGGATGATCTGATTGAATGCATGCTCTTAGATATTCAGAGTGTGGGTGTGTCTCTTTTGATTCCTACGGGTAAAGGACTCACGATGACTCCCACAGCAAATCCTAAGAGGAAAACCTCAAGGCTCGGGTATCCTCTGCTGGTTCTCATCAGCCTGTGGAAACCACTGTCTAGGACCCAGGGATGAAGGCCTGTGTAGAAGCTGACGCTCGCATTTTCCACGCCTACCGCTGGTCATGTAAGCATGCCTGGACTTCAGCATGGGGCTCACAGTGAGACCCTTTGAGATTAATACACAGATCCATTAGGACAAGATAGAGGACTTTCTTGTTAATTAAGAAAAGATAACTAAGAAAACATTTTTTCCAATGCGCAGTGGGTTTCTGAGGGATACAGATGTCCCCTGAGGGATGCCTATGCCTATACCAACACTCCATCCTAACCATGCACCAAAGCACATCCAAGCAGCTGTGTCCCCATTAACCAGGACTCACGACAGCCACATTGTGTCCTTGGAGGTTCCCCAACTCAATTTCCTTATTTGAACACAGGCGTCACTTCCGAATGTGTCAGCCTCACACAAAGGAGTCGGGGTCAAGAGAGTCCATGAACACAGACGTGCAAGGAGATGTTTCAAGACGTGCTGTGACATTACCTGGGTTGGGCTGCAGATACTCGGTGGCTTTTGACAGGATTTCTGCAACAGCCTTACTCGTAATATCTACTTTCTTTAGAAAAAGACAAAACAGAAAGGCTAGTGAGTTTTAACAGAACCAAAAAAAAAAAAAACACATTTACCACCCATTCACCTTCTGAGGCTACTGGGATTATTTTTATTTTTTATTTTTTTTTTTGTGAATTGGTTTTGTATGCATGTATGTCTGTGTGAGGGTGTCGGATCCACTGGAACTGGGGTTACAGACAGTTGTGAGCTGCCATGTGGGTGCTGGGAATTGAACCTGGGACCTCTGAAGAGTAGCCAGTGCTCTTAGCCGCTGAGCCATCTCTCCAGCCCTACTCTGGTGATTTTAACACAGAAGTTCTCAACATCCTGGGGAGAGGTGCTGGAATTTAAGGTGTGCACCACCACCATCCGGTGCTATTAGATATTGTAAGCAGGGCTTCAGTAGGAGCGTGGAAGACAGTGGTGCTGAGGGTGATTGAACCGTGGGCGCCTGGCTCAACAGCTTTCAGAGGGAGACTATTAGAAAGTGGCCTCGGGAGCATTCTTGGGGCAGGGTGGCAGAGAATGCGGCTGCTTTTGCCCTTGTCTGAAGAATCTGCCTGAGGCCAAGCTGGAGAGTTGGAGAGTTCTGGATTAATGGCACTGGCAGAGATTTCAAAACAGCCTGGTATTGACTGTGCTGTGTGGCTACCAGTGGGTGGTTTAATGCAGATCTATGACGAAAAAGAGCAAGTTAGTAAGCAGCACTCCTCTGTGGTCTCTGCATGGGCTCCTGTCTCCAGGTCCTGCCCTGTGTGAGTGATAAACAGGAATATGGGGGAGGGGGGGGCAAACAAACCCATTCTTTCCCAACTCGCTTTCTGGTCATGGTGATTATTTACAGTAATAGTAACCTTAACCATGACAGCTGACAATAAAGTGAGATTCATAATTCACACTCTATGTAGGACTGAAATATGGAGCAAACACTATAAATGTAATACCCGAGAGAAGAATGTCTCAAGATGCTGACTTGGGAAGAAGGCTCTAAGCTTGCCCTGAGATCCCACGGTCGAAAGAAGGGATCAATCTGTGACACCCAACCATCCCAGACTAAACAGTGACAGACACAGGAATGAGGTTTACAAAAAGTGGCAAACTGGGGGGATGGGACTACAAGGCATCAGCATCTATCAAGCTCAGAATTCTCTCTAACTTACAGCCAAAGTCATTAACATTTTGCTCAGATCTTCCCTGAGCCTATGAGAACCTTTGGCCCAACTGTTACTTGCAACAGAGGCAGGCAGGGTCTTCTCTGACTTGAATCGTTCTCCGTGTATTCCTGACAGCTTTGACCTTACACATTTAGAAGGTGTCACGTGCTACAAACTAATTTATAATTCCCATACTGCTGCTAAGTCACACTGGCTTCATTTTTTATAATTTCTTAAGTTCTTTCGGGGAACTGGGGGAAGGTGGAGAGAGGAAATGGCTATAATTAAGACATAAGTATGAATTTTTCAAAGAATGCATTATAATGACTAATTTTTAAAAAAAAAGTTTTCCATTTAATATCACGCTGTACTCCTTTATTTCTGCGTAGTTGGCATTTGTCGTGGGTTATTTTTCCTGATACTTTGTATCATGTTTTAGGTGAGTTTAATCTTCCTCCATAAAGTCCTTACAGTCCTTAGTCTCACAATATATAGTAAAGTCACATAACAGCCCACTTCTCTATTACATATTATATATCGTAATAATATTATATATTTTGCTATAATTATATATATTAATATAATATGCTCTATTATTATAATAATATCTAAAGCATAGATATAATTTTTATACTTGTCACTGTCTGTGATTTTTGGAGGAAAAAAGGAAAACCACAGGAGTAAACACAAGGGATCTCAGTCCATCAGCTGTAAAACTGCCTAGTCCCTCCCCCACTGGTTATGAGTCCTGGTATTTCCCAGGATGCTGTGCTATGGAGGAAGAGTCAGGGAGGACCCCACCCCCTACACACCCCGTCTCTAGGCGGAGGTTTCATGCTGTCCTGACAGCTTACGATCCACTTTGCAGACTGAAGCAGAGAGGTCAAAGGTGGGGCCACACCCAGAGCAGCACTGCCTAGTGGCACCACTGAAATCAGAACCACATTTCACACAGAGCTCCTGATGTGCTTCTCTTCCTGGTGAAGATGGAGCAATACAAAGAAACCACTTTCCCTGCCCCCCCCTCCACTCTCTAATTGGCTTGTTGAGGACAGGTGTCTGAGCCCAGCTTGTCAGGACTCTAAAAGCCCTGATAACAAAACTACTGTTATTTGTTTTTAATTGAATATCTGGATTTAATAATCTTGACGGTAAAGCTATCCTTACATATTAAGACATTTTGAAATATCCATGTCAGATGTGTCAATGAAGTTAAAATGTTGGTATGATTTTCAATTTGCAGAGATTAATTCTTGTTTTCAAAAATTAAACACAAAAGAAGCTTTTCTTCTTAGGGTCTTAACATTTCAAGAAATTATCTCTTGAGTAGAAAATAGGGCCATCCTGGAGGAAGGCTGGCCTGGTCCAACACACATTAAAGAGGCTACCATCCAAGGCCACTGCCTGGAGCTGGGCTTCCTGCACCTGCCCTGCCGGCCACACCCAGGCCTCTCTCTCTGGTCTGGGGAGGCTAATGATTAGAACAAGGCTCTGCTCAAAGGCCCAAGTCAAGGGGGGGGAAGCTGAGGAGTGGACCCAGCTCTGCCAACAGTGAATCTACTCTGCAGGTATGTGACTGGGGGACATGGCGAGGGACAGATTCTGCCATCCTCTGTTGGCATGTTACAGTCCATCATGCCAAACCAGTAATGCTCTTCTAAATTATTTCATCTGCATATATGATTCTGAAAGCCTCACAGTTGCGCACAGATAAAACAGCTCATCTGAGTTCACCCTGGCAGAAAAGCATTTGCTGTGCAGCTGCTGAAACAGATGGGCACAGCATCCTAGATTCCCGAGCGATTAATCAGCTACTATCTATTGGAAAAGCCGTGCCCCAGAAATCCTTCTCTCCAAGACACATGAGCACAGTTACTTTTGGCCCTGAAGTAGCGACCAAGGCCCACCTTCTGTGCATTTTGACTTCTGGCCCCTAGAGGGAGCCCGTTAATCACATCGCATTTCCTTCCTCGCCAGGCCCAGACTGGATGTGAGTCAAGCCAGGGCTGAGAAGCACGAAGGTCCCGCCTTCCAGACTGGGCACCCCATACTCATCTTTGAACATTTTGTATTTCCACTCCAGGTAGCAACCTTTACGGTAGGAGGTTTTCTCGCGTGTCAGGACAGCTCACTTCGCACCAGTCACAGGCTCAAACAGCCTTACCTTTTCCATGTCCAGAAACTCCTCATCCAGCTTCGTTCCTTCGGCACCGCTAATTTTTTCACTAAACAGCTGCAAAAAACAAACACAGGCGCTTTCTCTCACTGAAGGGAGTAAAACACGACACAGTGGAAGTATCTTGGCTCTGTTGTTTCGATTTTAAACTAGGTCCTTTCTGGAAACCATTAGGGGCCGACAAGACAGTAAAGGGGCTTGCCGGGCAGACCGGGTAGCATGCGCTCTAGCCCCAGAGCCTATGTAAAGAGGGAAGGGGGGAACCAACCCCACTAAGTTGTTTCCAGACTTCCACATGTGCACTGTGGTGTGCACGCACACATGCACACAGAACCAGAGCCACCCAGCTGACACACAGCTGAGGGAACACACAGGAGAGTCCCATCAGCTGACCATGCCCACAATCCCGAGAACCTAAGCCCCAAAACAGTGCTGTTTTTAAACCACTAAGTCTGGGGTGTTTCACAGGAGAATCCACTTGCCAGGGGTTCTCTTTTCAGACTGAGGACAGAGGTCAGGCAGCCTCATCCCAACCCTTAATATGAGACGTGACCCTCAGAAGACTACAGGAGACTATGCTCTACAGCAACAGCGGGAAGCAAAATCACCTCAAGTACTGGTTCCTAACCCTGGAGGTAACATCTGAGTCTCTAATGGAAGTTATACAATCTCTGGCCTTTGAGCTTGTTGCCATGGGAGACTGCAAAAAGTGGCCGCCCGGCTTTGTAGTTCTCCCATTCTGCCTCTGTTTCCTTTGGTCAGAAGACGGAGTCTGAGCTGGGCTGTGGGCTTCAGATACTCCAGCAGCAGTTCGCAGCCTGTGGGTCATGACCCCCTAATCTTACAAATCTACCCGGCATATCAGATATCTACATTACAATTCATAACTAACAAAATTAGTTATGAACTACCAATGAAAATGATTTTATGGTTGGGTCACCGCATCATGAGGAGCTGTATTAAAAGGTCCCAGTGTTAGGAAGATTGAGAACCACTTAGAGCAGACACTTCCAGGCATTCTCTGAGACCCACAGTGATCAAGGCCGGGGCCAACCTGTAGGAGAATGACCACATGGGGGAGCAGAGCCATCATAGACATCACCCCTTGTTTGGGGTGAGCCTCATACGCAGTAATAGGTGACTGGCATGCTACTAGAGAATCCCACCCACAGCTTCTGATCTTATCACTTTTATTAGCACTGAGAATTAGTCCTGACCCCTCCTCAGTCAGTACTCAGTTCTCCTTGGCTGTTACCAGTACATTGGCTCTGTCAGAAAGCACGGCGGGACATACAGAAAGAGAGAAAGGGAGTATTTCTGCTTTTTTTTTTTTTTGGTTTTTCGAAACAGGGTTTCTCTGTAGCTTTGGAGGAACCTGTCCTGGAACTAGCTCTTGTAGACCAGGCTGGCCTCGAACTCACAGAGATCTGCCTGCCTCTGCCTCCCGAGTGCTGGGATTAAAGGCGTGCGCCACCATCACACAGCGTATTTCTGCTTTTGAGACCAGAAATGAATATGATTCCCATTCCTTTCTCATCTGGAAATAGATATTGCCTGGTTTTGTTTTCAGTCGCAGGTTAAAGTTGTAACAATTCGCTTGCTTTACCTGACTCCTCCCAGGACACTTAGCTATTCTGAGATATTAAACAGGAATACACACATGACCTTAGATATTTAAGACACTTGACCACTGAGTGAGAACTTCTCCCACAGACTTGGGTAGGTGAGCACGTAGAGTCCTGGTTGGCAATGCTGTTTGGGCAATGCCTTGCTGGAGGAAGTACATCACTGGGGTGGGCTCTGAGAGTTCATAGCCTCCAGCCACCTCCAGATCGCTCTCTCTGCTCCACATGTGTGATCTCTCTTGCTCCAGCCACTGCTGCCATTCCTCCCCTGCTGCTAGGAACTCGCCAGAACCATAAGCCAAGGCAAACCCTTCCTTCTAGAAGTTACCTGAGTCCCAGTGCTCTATCCCGGGAACAAAGCAGTGACAACTACAGTCACACACAAAGCTTCATCACTGAACAGCCTTGAGCAGTCAGCACCTGCTGTATGCTGAGCACCCCGGCAAATACACCCCACCAGCCACATAAACATCCTACAGCTCACCTAGCCTCACTGTAGGGAAACCCTGCCAGACTCTAAATATTGATATTCAAGCAAACCTAAGTTGGGAAGGTCTTTAACTCCAGCATTTAAGAAGCAGGGTATTTTCTGTGAATTCCAGGACAGCCAAGACTACATAGTGAGCCATAGGTAGATGATAGATTAGATAGATAGATAGATAGATAGATAGATAGATAGATAGATAGATAGATAGATAGACAGACAGACAGCAGACAGATAGATGCATACATACATATACTACCTGTGGAATGCAGCAAAAAGTCATTTAAAGATTAAACACAGAAAAAAGTACTTTAAACCAATGTAAATCAACAAAACTACAGTACTACAACCTAATGTTTCAAACTTTATCTAGTGGCCCAAGCTAGGTAGTTTGCCAAAAGGTACCAATGTAGTTTGTTAGAAACACTGTGATCAAGACATAGACACATAACACATGGAGACAGCACATGTCCATGGCAGACAGATGTAGATACAGTACGTTAAAAACACCGTGGTCAAGGCATAGATAGACACATAACACACCGAGACAGCACACGTCCATGGTGGACAGGTGTAGAACTTGTCACTAGGAGCCAGATGGAATGAAGCAAAGGATAGAAGGAGGATCCCAGGCTGTACGTCCTTCACCAGGAAGGATGTGGTATTTCTGGAAGAGGGAAGTATAAACAAAGCCACAACTTTAATTTATCTAGTATGAAGGCAGAACTATTAACGTGACTATACTAAAGACTAACCCCAAAGGAGAAGGGCCAGATGGCCAGGTGGCCAGGTCACACAGGTGGGTCACAGAGATGGGTCACATGGGCAGGTCACACAGGTGGGCAGGTCACACAGGTAGGCAGGTCACACAGGTGAGTCACAGAAGTGGGGCAGGTCACACAGGTGGGTCACATAGGTGGGGCAGGTCACACAAGTAGGTTACACACGCAGGTCACACAGGTGGGCGGGTCACACAGGCAGGCAGGTCACAGAGGCTGGTCACACAGGCGGGTCAGGCAGGCAGGTCACAGAGGCAGGCGGGTCATGTGCCACTCCTAACCATGGGCAGAGCAGAGTTTAAGCAGGTTAAGTGCAGGAACAGATCTGAATTTCAGAATTACAGTCAAGTGGATCATAGGGAAGGCCCCTGAAGAAGAACGAGACGGCAGGGCAATCCAAGAGCCGACAGATACCGATGTAGATCTGTTGAAGGGACAGTTCTGGAATTCCGTCTCATGTGTCCCCACCACAAATCACATATCTCGCCGGGCTCACTATCGAACACCGTAACCCTGCCAAGCAGACCTGCCTCAGGAGCCCGGGGCCATCAGCAGATGGAACCGTGCCCAGCTCCAACTTGGCAGTGCCAGTCATATCAGAAATAGGAAAACGAAAGCTGCTTTCCAGGACCAGAACAGAGCAGTGGCGCTGGGGAAGGGATGGACCTGGGGCACCAAAGGTGGGGGGGGCTCTGGGGTTCCTTCTATCCGCACACATGAGGGGCTAATGGTCAATATCACCACAGCCTCAGCGCCCTCTGTGCATAATACGTTTTCAGAGAAATCTGACTTCTCCATTTCTTCCATTTTTTAAAAAAAGGATTTATTTTTATTTTGAATTGAGGGGTGGCAGGTTCTGAGTCCAGAAGAGAGCATTGGGTCCCCTGGAGCTGGAGAGCTGGCGTGGGAGCTGAGAACCGAACTCAGGTCCTCTGCAAGGGCACTGCTCACTTCTAACTACTGAACCATCTCTCCAGGCTCTGCTTCTTCATTTTCTGTAAGACTAAATAGCAATAAAACCAAAATTTCAGGAATATACATACATATATATAATATCGGCCAAACTTCTATGTAGGGACTTTTGAAATTGCTCCTGCATCATTTTCCCAGTGAGTGTATGAAACCAGAGCTCTGTGGAGAGGAGGGCAGGAGAAAAGCTCTAGGCTACATAACCTGAGACAGGAAAAACACAAATTAAAAAGATTTCTTTACAAAAACACATTCAGGGGCTTTTAAACGGGCACTTCCAGACGTGCAAGGGACATGTGGGACAGACAGTGTTTGTCATCTAATGCAAAGGTTAAGCCTCCTCCTCGGTGCTCTGGAGACACCATGGCCTCCCCCGGGTGCTCACCCTCCCTGCTGCCTCCCTGTCTTTACTTTGTGCCATTTAGCTGCCATGTGCTCAGAAAACATGGCAAGATTGGACACATCACCAGCAGGGACGATGGGCGAGAGGGGTGAGCGAGCTTCTAACTGTGAACTTAAAGCTATCTGTGGAGGCGCTGGGGCAGCGGAGGCTGAGGGGCCAGGAATGGAAGGAAAGAAACAGCACAGGGGAGGGGGGATGTTTAAGGGGGGTCTGTGGGTGCTTCTTAGTTTGGGGGGAGGGTTCCTGTCTTGTAACACAGGCTAGAAAGTGGGAGCAGAAAGCTCCAGCCTGGAATAAGCAGCCATCTCTCTCCCCGTGAGGTTACAGAGCACATCGTAACCAAGGAAACCAGGATCTAAGAGGCCAAAATTCCGGGAAAAAAGGAAACGCGTAAAGAAGCGACCCTGACAGGCTGTTCCCTTTTCTCTTGGTGCTTGGAGTATGTCCTCCCTGGCGCCGAGGCGAGGCTTAAAGAAAACAGTACAAGGACACGGCCAAAGGCTAACCATCTAGGCAGAGATTTCACTACCACAGCCATGGGGAGACAAAAACCGGAGCTGAGGATAGTCCAATGAGACAGGATGGTAAAGGGGATGGGAAAAGAGGTATCGCCTCAAAATGTATATACTAAACCATTAATGTCCAGTGTGGTCATATTAGAAGGTGGGGTCATGGGGGGGAGTGGGTCAGGATGCTCATTGTGTAAAACCTCTCGGACTGGGATCTGTATCTCTGTTAGGAAACCCCAGAAAACCCTCTCCTCTCCAACCACAGGTGCACACAGAGAGCTGGCTCTT